GAGCGAGGGTCCTGGGCTCCGCGCGATAAATCAAGTCGCCAGCGGAAAGTTGGAGGGATGTTGCCCTGCCTTCGTATTACCCTGCTTCCAAAAAACGCTCGGACGCCCTCTTCGTAAACCAGCAAATCCATGAGCGTCCGCTTCGCTTCGCCTAGCCCTGCCGAAGCGGTTCTGAAAAGCGAGTTGGTTCCTGCTGGGCTACTTCTGTGTTTTTTTTTTTTTTTTTTTTTTAAGCAGAGTTTTGTGCGCTTTGGGTGCGCTTGAGTTTTGCCATTTGCTCAGCTTAATCCCCTTTGTCATCTCAGTGAACGTACTTACTTTTCTTCCGATATTCTTCCTACTTCCTCCTGAAGTTTCGAGCAGGAGTTGTGGAAAACGTTAAGGTTTTATTTGTCTTTCATCAGCTTCCTACAAAAGAATTCGGAACTTCCTAAAGTGAGCAGAGGAAGGGAAAGCTGAGATGGAAATTATCTTGCTGGGAGACCAGAGATGGATTTTTTCACATCTTCATTTTGTTTAATTGCGTCTCTGAACGCTGTCTTCTTGGGTTTTGGTGAACGGAACAGATCAAAACTCCTCCAAGTTATCTTTTTTTAAAGTAGCCATTTTTTTCTATTTTCAGTCTTTTGATCCGATTTTGCACATCGCTTTCAAATTGAAAGACACTGAGAGTGTGAGAAAGGAATGTTAACTGAGCAGCTTTCCTGCCTGTTGCTAAATGATGTACTTGAAGTAAGTTGGATTTTGCCTGAAATGATAGCATGGAAGTGCAGCTTTTGTGCATGTGGCTATCGTGAGTTAAATAAGTAAATAACGAAGTTTACTGTCTACAAAAAATACCGAGTGATTTTCTAGGAAGAGCAGTGTGCTCTGCAGCAGCCTCCCCCCCCCCCCGCCCAACCGCGCTTCTGCAGTAATGGTTTGAGGTTATGGCTGTTTTACATGCTTAGACAATAAGTTTTGAGCGAGTTGCCTAGAGGGTGTGTTTTGTAGTGGTGTTTCAGGACTCTGCGTGTTGTCGTAGCGTTAGCGCGGAGCTCCGCGCCTTGCCGGGGTCCCCAGCCCCGGCAGCAGCTCCGCAGCCGCTCCGGAGAGGGTGGGCGAGCTGCGCTCAGCGCTAGTGCTCACTATGTGCCTCGAAATTGCAAAGCAAAAACGCGAAATTCCAAACGCGCTTTTCTTCTCCTTTCATACTGGGAATTCAGGTTGGCTAATTCATGTACAGTTAGTGCAGGATTTGGGGAAATGTAGCATCGCTAGTCCTTGAAGGCACTTGCGGGAAGGTACTGCTCAGCAGTGTTTAAGTAAATGAGAAGAGCGGCCCCGTGAAAATTTTTTGCGTCTAACTTGAATTCTAGTTTGTTAAACTTTGTTACGGTTTCACATTTAAACATCGATAGAAAAGGGTTCATCAGACTGTAACAGCATATATTTATTTTTTTACTGCTTTCTTTTTTAAAAGTTCAAATCTCATGCTGTTCGATATTCCAGGAAGGCTTTCCACTTAAAATGTATTTTTGGTACAATCAGTGAGTAAGTAAGTTTACCCCTCACTGTGTCCTGAGCATACGGACGTTTAAGAAAGTTTGTACTGGATTAACCTGAACAGGTATTAGGTTAATTGCAGAAATTACTTGCAGCATAAATGATATGCAACAAGTAACTAGTTACTCATAGGAAACGCGCAGGAGATCGTGAGATTATTTCCTTTTGTTAATAACTCTAGATTCTCTCATGATCTTTTAGAATTTTGTTGGCGTTTGTTGGAACTGCATCCCCAATCCTAACAGAATAATCTTGCAGCATAATTTTCCAAGGGAAAGTTACAGCAGAGAAATAATTCAGCTAGTCTTTGGAGCAGACAAAATATTTGCTGCCCTTTCATAAAAAGGCTTGTCAGAAGCAGTTTCTTTTCATGTCAGTAATGGTTTTCGATAAATTCTTGCTACAGCATTATGATCATCCACACAACTGTTACTGGGCCCAAGAAATGCGAGAAATTATGATTGCTTTCTTTAGTAAGAGCTGAAGAACAGGGTGCTTAAGAGAAATATTTGCTTAGTTAGGCTCCTTTTAGCTGGTTACATAATTAGGCCTTCTTGTGAGATAACTGCAGGGTGTCAGTTCCGAATCCAGACACTCGCGTTTTTTCCAAAGGTGCGCACGAGGTGTGGAAGGCCTTGCGAAGCATCAGTAATGCAAATGCGATTCAGAAACAATTACTGAAACACATATAGTGGAAGTTTGCTAAAAACAGTGTTAGATCAGACCCATTTTGTGTGTGTTTCCCTACCTAACTCGCATCTTTATCTCTCTCAAAAATATTTATGTTTTAGTTTGTACCTTATTTATCTTTTTGTTGTTAAGTAGCACCTGGCCCTCCGAGGACAAGCCCTCCTGTATATTTACCTTTGCTGGTGCTTATTGCATAACTCGATTTTAACCATGCTCATGCCTTAATCGTGGAAACAGGCATCTTTATTAGTGTGAGCTGAGGTGG